ATACAATAGTAATTTTATATATATAATATCATTTGACTTACAATATGATTGGAAAAGTATCGATTTATAACTTTCATATCTATTTAATACTAATATTTGATATTTGCTCTTTCTTTATTAATTAATATATTTATTGAAATATTTTAATCACTTTAAACCTATCTCATTATTTGTTCATTCATTAGAAATAGATTTAATAACTCAATCCACAGGAAAAACGATTTTGGTATATTAATTGGAAACATGAACTTGTCCTTGAACTATCAGAAATGGAGGTATAGTTTCACCTTCTTTATTACTACATATAATTGCTATAGCCCATTCTCGATTGCCTAATTATATTACCTTACTTCTATTATTTTTTTCAGAATTAATTACAACTATTCCAAAGTATATTATATTTATCATAAAGCTGGTTTCGTCGAAATTATAGAAGTCACAATCTTGAATATTATATTTCGTCTATATATTCGATATCAATCCAAATTACTCTTTAATAAATTTAGGATCTTTATAGAGAGCTTTTTAAAAGTTATAAATACAATTAAAACATATCTTTAATTTTATACAATACTTTACGAATCGATGAGCTCAGAGCTTTCCAACTCTCTTCGCATCTCTTGATTCGAGAATATAATTCGCTATATCTTCTATATTATTTAATTTAAATCTAAATCCTCCTTTATCCATATCGATAATATACTGAATAAGCACCTCTTCTTTTTCAATCAAATTAAGATTATTTGCTCGAGTTTCTATTTTATGAATTCAATCGCTTATTCTATCTCGTAATGTAGTTCGAGGGACTTTGTAGATTTTCGCAACCTTTCCAATTGTAAGATTTTTTGATTTTTGAATAGCTTCAATAGCTAAGATTATTCTGGTCTCTTTTGATTGTATTTCCATAATAATTCGTTGAAATATCGCGTCTTGAAATTGAATGATAAAAGATATTGAAAAAGTGACGACTCGCTGATAAACCACGTTATCTTTTTCTTTAAGTTTCTTTTTTAAATATTTCAATTTTAAAAATAGAATAAAGATTATTAAAAAAAAAAAAATTTATTTAATATAATTTTAATTATCAAAACCTTTAAAATTTCTTTAAATATTTTAAATATATTTATCATATTAAATATAATAATTAAATAAATATTTATTCCAGTTTTTATTAAATATAAATATAAAAAATATATAAAAATAAATATAAAAAAATATAAAAAAATATAAAAAGAAATATAAAAAAAAATATTAAAAAAGATATAATTATTTTTTCTAATACTAATATATTATTCATATAATAAAATTTTTAAAATATTTAAATCAATCTTAATAAAAATACTTTTATATATATAATATTTTTTAAAATATTATATTCAAACTCAATTAATATTAGTTATAAATATCTACATACTTTGATTAAAAATTAATAATAAAATCTAAAATTATTATATATTCATCGATATATAGAATTTCTTCATTTTTGAAAATAAATTTCTTTTCCAATTCAAAATTATAATCTGTCACACTCAAGAATACTGGGTAGAGTATCTTGTATTAGAAAATACTAAGCTAAGGAGAAAAGAAGAAGGAAAACAAGAGCAGCGAGTTTTCCTGTGATTAAATACAAACGGGGCATGCCACGTGACCCGAAGGTGTGAGGCGTCACATAATCTATATTTACCAAAAAAAAACTTTCGTATTTAATAATAATACTTTATTTATAATAAAATAATATTTAAATTAATATTAATAATAATACCATTTTAAATGTATATTATTAATTAATAATGAATAAGATACTAGATTATAAAATATATCTTATATTTATTGATTAATATTTTATTAAGAATAATTTTAATATATAATATAATTTCTTCAAATCAATATCAATATTGATATTATTTATTAAAAAATATTTTTATAATATAATCTTTTAATAAGAAAATAGGTTTTATATAAAATATTAAATCAAAATTTAATCATAATTTTAATCTTTTTTTAAAATAAATAAAATAAAAGTGTTAAATAAAGCATATTTTGTTCTTGAAAAATTCAAAATAGTTTATATTATTCAAACAAACATATATTTTATTATATATAATAAATGAAAACTTTATTAATATTTTATTATTATAAAAAATTTAAAGTTTTTTTATAATAATTAAAATTTTAACTCAATTGAAAATCATATTTTGGATAATATATTATTAAAAAAATATCTAAATTTGACTTGAAATTCATTTATTTTAATAAATTAAAAAACAATCATTATTTATATATTCTTTAATTTTATTATAAAAATATAAAATATAAAATATAAAATATAAAATATAAAATATAAAATATAAAATATAAAATATAAAATATAAAATATAAAATATAAAATATAAAATATAAAATATAAAATATAAAATATAAAATATAAAATATAAAATATAAAATATAAAATATAAAATATATCCTTTTGAAAAGTCAAGGGCTTAGAGAGTATATATCTTTTATATAATCAGATAATTAATATATTCAAAAATAATAAAAAATTATAATAATGTGATCATCCCTATATCTAAAAAATCTGTATTAATCAATGCTAGCTTTACACATTTTCATACTTCATAATTATCTTAAATAATTAATAAATCTTTCTTTCTCTTAGTCTAATGATTATGATTATAGCCGGGCCGAGATTTCCGATTGACCGACGGCGCGGACGCTCCTTATAGCCGGAAACCTAATGATCCCCTCTTCTCATTGAGACATTCGATCAATTCAACCGGTAGCTATGGAATTCAGAATATGATACTGGTGGGAAAATATTTTGTTTGAATCTAGACACGTATTCTTTCTAGATTTATTATGGATCAATGTCTATAAACATAAGTGCTGCCTTTTAAGATGTCCGCACTTTTATCTGCTCTCTATTCTTATTTGGTTGCTGCCGGGATCTGACGTAGTTCTTGAAATGATTTTTCCTATACTTCTCTTCGTAGCGACAACCGCTGCACAACAAGCTGCATATGGCCAATGCGGAGGTGTAAGCTGGACCGGTGCAACAAGTTGTGCTACAGGCAGCACTTGTGTCTACCAAAACCAGTACTATAGTAATCAATCCCCGGAGCACACTACACAGCAACATACTCACCATGTTGCGTAGGCCAATGTCTTCCCGGAGCGGATAGTAGTACTTCGAGTTCAAAAACGACATCAATTCTCCCGGCAACCTCAAAAGTATCTACATTAACATCAAAAGTGTCTTCGACGTCAACCTCCATAGCTAAAAGTAAGATCCTGATCGATGCAATTCCAATCATACTACGATTGAAACTTGCTAAGACACACTTAGGTCCCACGTCTACTGCAGGCATAGAATATTTTATAACTTTGTAAGCATAATCATTCATGCTCCTGATTTGAGCCTTCACTAATTTCGGAGCAGCGGCGACTCATACTCACAGACAGGCTTTGACCCAACTTTAACCCAACCGGCTGCTGGGAACCCCCTCGGAAATCCCAATCTTCAAGGCTTTACAACAACTGGTGGTCTTAATTGGGCATGTAGACCAAGAAGTTTGAATCCGATCATTCGCTAATGGAAAAATACGTAGATCGGCTATCTCGTTGAAACATACAATGTCACACTCATGTTATCATACAACTTTGCTTTCGGAGGCGCGACAACCAACGCATCGCTTGTCGCTCCTTACGCACCCACAGTACTCTCCTTGATCGACCAAGTGGATCAATTCGTCCAGTATATTCCCTCGGGGCCTTGGTCGGCTAGCAACACGCTTTTCGGCATCTTCATGGGTGTTAATGATGTTGGGAACGCATACTATCTCTCGAATTATACCACGGTACTCGGTCAAATCATGGATTCTTATTTTGCGGAAGTTCAGCGACTCTACGATGCCGGGGGCCGGAATTTTCTGTTTTTGACCGTTCCACGTGAGTCTCCACGGTGATGAATATCAACGGTGAAAATATCAGACACTAACGATACACAAAGCCACCCAAGATAGTCCGCTCTTCATAGCTCAGGGGACGGCGGTGCAGGCTTCTCTCGCTACTGCTATATCGCAATACAATGCAGCTCTAGTGTCACGGGTGACAGAATTTAAAGTGGCAAATGCTGGATCCAAGACCTGGGTATACGATACTCAGATTCCCTTCTTAGCCGCAATCAACAATCCTACAGCATATGGTTCGGCTAATGCCACTTGCATCAACTCCGATGGAGTCAGTTGTCTCTGGTGGAACAACTATCATCCTGGACAAATTATTCACAAACTAGTCGCTCAAGGAGTAGCTACACTCATGAAGGGGACGTTCTGGTAGAGGGTAAAATCATGAAGTAATGTTAAATCCTGGTTTATTTAGAAAACAAGTACTTTATCTCTAAATTTGCAGGTCGTGATTGTAAGGTTACCTCTATTAAACAGTCAACTCGAATTAGACACTTTAATCAGTCAAATAACATACGTTATCGAGTAATTAGATTGTAGTCGACTTTTCTTTGTGTAGGAATGGTGATCCAAAGTAACAGCATGACTTAGATGTGGAAAACCATGGATTAAATCAAAAACAAAATGATGGTTATTTGATATATACATTAAACAATTGTTCAAGGCGGGCCGGAATACATACCATGCGTGTTGTGAGGTATAAGGATTGGCCTGGCGAAGATGATACATTATGTATACACTGCACCACTTCGCTTGGCCTCTTTCCCACTCCCGACTTCCGATAGAACTACATGCAGGTTGTCGCGAAATCTGTACCCACCAAGCAGGCCACTTATGGATTGCCTGCTACTCGTGTTGGGACTGTCAAGAGTAGATACGTTGATAAATCATAGCATGTCGGAATTTCAAACCAAAAATTATTCGGACTATTTCTAACATTAAATATGCCAACCGAACTTACCACATCATCTCGTATTCTCATTGCAGGAGGTGGAACTTGGGCTGTATCTACAGCTCTTCACTTAGCCCGTCGAGGTTATATAGATGTCACAATATTCGATACATACCCTATACCATCCCCAATATCTGCTGGTAACGACATCAACAAGATTGTGGAAGAAGGCACGAACAATGGGATTTCTGGTATTCATGAGAAGCTCACTAACAAATATAGGCTCTTTCCTCGAGGATGAAGATGATATCTCTATGATTTTGCTTAACAAAGCGACCGAGGGTTGGTTGTATGATCCTATTTTCAAACCTTACTACCATCCAACTGGGTATATTGTGGCGGCGGATACCCCAGCTGCGTTGGAGCAGGTGGAGAAGCGAGAGACACCTAATTCACAGATCGGTTTCGTGACATTAAATACTGCGGAAGAGTTCAGGAAGACAATGCCGCCCGGGGTATTGACAGGTGATTTTCCTGGTTGGAAGGGAGTGTTCAAATCTTCTGGTGCCGGCTGGGTACATGCTCGTAAAGCCATAGAGAGTGCAGCTAAAGAGGCGGAAAGGCTTGGGGTGAAGTTCATTACTGGATCACCCAAGGGTTTTGTCACTAGTCTCATTTTTGAGGATGGAGACGTCTTAGGCGTTAAGACTGCGGATGGAAAGGAACATCGGGGCGACAGGACAATACTTGCAGCTGGTGCTGGCGCCGATGCGCTCTTTGATTTTAAAGACCAGCTTCGGCCTACGGCTTGGACTTTAGGGCACATCAAGATGTCAGAGGATGAAATAACATTGTACAGGAGCCTCTCTGTTCTTTTCAATATAGAAAAAGGATTTTTTATGGAGCCGGACGAGGATAACCACGAGCTCAAAATATGCGATGAGCATCCTGGCTATTGTAATTGGGTAAGTTGATATTTTGTTGACTTGGGAATCCGATTGAATTATTCAAAACACGTCAGAAAATAAGAACATTCAATCCGAATGTATGGGATTTGAGGTCGGAATGATTATGATTACTGGAATTCTGGAGGCATTTTATGAATATATACAACCGCTAGTGATCCTACTCAACCCGGTGAAGAACAGTGAGGAGATACGAGTAAGCATTGACCAAAATATACTTTTAGGTTCCTGGATCGAACGGCAAAACTAGGAGCATTCCCTTTGCGAAACAACAGATCCCCGTCGATTCGGCAAAGAGAATCCAGCAATTCCTGTTAGAAACGATGCCCCATCTTGCAGACCGCCCCTTATCCTTCGCTCGCATCTGTTGGTGCGCTGATACCCCTGATAGAGCATTCCTGATCGATAAACCCCCCGGATTTGCCTCGCTAACTCTGGCGGTGGGTGCTAGCCGACATGGCTTCATGCATATCACTTCGGTTGGAGGATTTGTGGTGGATTCCATGGAAGGGAAATTGGACCCAAGATTGAAGAGCGCCTTTCGATGGAGACCGGAAACGGCAGTTAACAGGAATTGGAAGGATCTACAAGGTAGATTTGGAGGACCAAATAAAATCATGGACTTCCAGGACGTCAAGGAGTGGACGAACTTACCAATCAGATAAAAATATAAACCTCAGCATGTAATACATACAAAAAGAAACATGTTTCGCCATCCGTTCTGCGGGACTAAACTAAATGCGTGTAACCTCCTTTACCAGAGACACCCTTGAGTGAACTTGTAGTGCTGAGATGGCACACGAAAGAATTGACCCATATCAAGTGTCCCCGGATTGCAGTTCAATAACGAAGGGTTTTAGAATTTTGGAATCATTCATTCTGAATATTGAATCATATCAAAAATTTGGGATGATCTCGGATATCCAGTCTATTTGACATGATGATTCTTATAATGATTATAGCATTTTCCACTTCAAATTGGGATTGCAGTCGGAACTATTGGCACCCCTTGCGGAACCAGGACCCAGGTCGCCTCAAGACAATTTTGATATGTTCAATTCATGTATGTATCTACGAATCTATGTACGTACCTATGTGAAGTATGGGTATCCTCGAGCCGTATGGCAAGCTTCATGTCGCAATTGACAAACATTCATCGTTCGACTGCTTATTCTTCTTCGTAAATCTCCTGCTGCATCTGCCGTTCCCATATGCGGTTTGCCGACTCGACAATTTTTACGGCTTTTGCAAGAAGCTTAGCGTGGTACTTTTCCTCGTCGTCGGATGCTAGACGTAACTTCCTGGGTTGGGCAAGGAGTAGTATGGGTATTCATTCCTTGGAATCTGCTCCCGCGATCGCACCAACTGTTTTATAACCATTGTCCCAGAAGATCCTTGCCGTCCGACTTTTGATGAATGTTATGTCAGCCAAGGCGAGCAGATCAGATTTGGCCCCTATGACTTGTTAGATGTAGTTGCCAATATGCACCAACCAGAAAGTACGAATCCATAAAATCCCTTTGTTTTAGTAATGAGTTGAAGGACATACCAGCTTTGAGTCGATCAGAGAAGTGATCAAGCACCGCAGCTAGTGCTCCCCAATCCATTTTCTCACAGAACTTAATCATTCCTGCAGCGAAGCCATGACATGTCTGGGCCAAGTTTTGTATGGTTCCTCGTGGTAAGTCATATTTGCGAGCAACTACATGAACCGGCATCTCGTTGCACAAGTCTCGAAGCTGCAAAGCTGTGTAGAACCTCTTGTACACCCGAACGGTTTCGATTTCTTCAGGCGTTGACTCCTTCATCGACCCTCCATGTGCCCTAGGAGGGAGTTAACCGTCAACTAATGACTCGATGTGGAGTAACAAATAGACTTACATTTTGTTGATCAATAGTGGCTTAAGACCGACGAAACCAAGAACTCTAAGGTTGCTTTCATCAAGCATATCAACCTCCTTACGGAATATTTGCCAATTAATGTTGCCCTGCACCACTTGAACAGGCGTGAAAGTGTAAAGCGCATGCATTTCGCCGTCTAGTACAAATGTCTTGAGAGATTTCCGTAATTCCTTGTAAACGAATAAGCCATCTTCCGGGGCGAGAGAAGAAGCCACAACAGCCTGTTCGAGGCGTGTAGCTTCGTATAAAAATGATTGCCTTTGTTCGATGAGTTTATTTTCCAGCAAATCTTTCAGAGTCATTTAAACCATCGATCCTAGCTCTTCCTGATCAATCGTTTGATAGAGGAGGGTTTTCTTGACGTAATCGTCGATTGAGTCACTGCTGATTGCTAGTTTTGTAGCTATCACTTCGAGTAATGCCCTTTGCACGTATCAGGACCGGCCGATTAACAATGCCTATTTGGACTCTTATACCTTTTCATACCGCGCTTTCCTGGCACTAAACAACTCTCTACTGACGGAATCTCGGCTTCCATGAGCCCGGTAACGGACTCGAGGTCGGATTTTTCGCAACAAAGATATGTTTCGCCAATTTCATCTTTCCCTTTACGCCCAGCTCTACCTCTCATTTGACGGCTGCAATAATCAGCATTTGCAATTACCTGTGCCGGGTAGGATATTTACAGCATTGAAGGTCCGACCAAATCAGATCCCATCCTAGCACCATGTAATATTACCCGTCCTAATGGATTGTCAGCCTCTGCGATCGTACAGATCAATAACATTTAGTATTTTGGAATCGTTGTTAGGGCATTTTGGTACCGGGGCTTTCGTAACTGGATGACTCACTGGCGGGAAGATTGATACCGGCTGCCAGACTGCAAGTCGCTACCATTACTTTCAATAATCCTTCGTCGTAGGCAGCTGCAACCAAGTCGCGCTCTTCTGTAGTGAGACCAGCATTTATGGGCGTCAGAAAACCTGGGACTCAGAGATAAAAGGCACATACGATGAAACGCCACACCCATGAGAACTGTTCTCTCCAGCACTTGATCCAGACCACTACTCGTATTTCTTAGATCACTCAAAAGATCGCGTCGTCTATTCATGATAATTGGATCGACAGCATCGACAAAAGGTAGCACCTGGCTCATTAGAAGTGCATCTCTTTCACAATCCAGTCGACCTACCATTCAACGAACTTAGTATTACTGTTTCACAGTCTAGAACAAAGAACCAAAACTAAAAAACCGTGAGTCTGCATGTTCAATCGGAGAGGCGGGGTCGAACATGGCGCCTATACTCATGTGGATTATCTAAGCAAAACAACGAGCCTAGGGACTACTTACTGCTGCGGAACACTAGCACACTATAGCCACTCCTGGCAGTTTCATTGGCTAAAGCAACGACGGCGTTTAGTAATGGATTGTTCAGCTCTCTATGCTGCGAAATCTGTATTCGCCTGTGAGGCTCCGGAAGTGGTTTCGTGGAATTGCCTCGGACTTGCGAATTTAGTTGTGATGCTGCCTCGTAGAACCTGTTCGCACTTGAGGCTGGATATACAGCATTTTCAAAGACAAGGTGTTCCTCTACGGGAACAGGTCTGTAATTGGAAATATAGAATTTCGCATTATTGAGCCATTTAGCCAGCAAGTCTGCACTCTTTCCTTAGTCAGATAGACAAATCCCCATGAGACGTTCACCAAAGAAAAGCTAGACTTACATCGAGAGTTGCGCTCATACCAACTATTTGCACACCTTGCTCCAAGCTAAGGAGCTTTGTAGCCATTAGTTCCAGTATATATCCGCGGCTTTCATCGTTTGTGAAATGAATTTCATCCATGACCACGACCCCAAGATTCTCTATGGAGCAATCATCAATCGCCGCATTGACAAGCGAGTTAGCCTATTATTCTTAGTCAATGACTACAAACCCATGCTGTATCTATGCTGACGCACCTTTTCTATAGTGCATACTGCAATATCCATGTCAGCCCACGTTGAATTCAATTTGCTGCCACCATAAAACCCAGTAACTCTAACGGTGTTTTTATTGCCTCGATTCCGCCACATTGATGGCCACTTTGATTCCCGAGAAGCTGTCTCTTTGGAGATTCCCTGGACAACCTTTCGGAGCCACCGGAGTTTTTCTTGAACAAGTGCGACGTAAGACAATACTAACAAAGCTTTCTTCTCCGGGGTTTGTATGATCTTCTTGAGCATGAGGACATCTGCAACAAGTGACTTCCCACCCCCTGTCGGAGCAGTGTAGACAAGATTACGTCCTCCAGCAAGTGCACCACTACGCAAAAGACATTCTGATTGCCATGGGTATATGGATTTGATCCCCAAGGCAGCAAAGTTGTCGGTTAATTGACGCGGTAGTTGATATGCAGGATGTGCTAAATCAAGCAAGGGGTTTATTGTTGGGGTTGGCGTCAAAGCAAGATGCCTTCTCTGTGAATACTCGGAATAATCTGGAACCGTGATATTGTCAATTTCACTTGCCTTTAAAGTCCCCGGACTATCATCTTTGAGAGTTGGGCGGAGAAAGTCAGTTTGCTTGGAAAGTTTAGTTTGGCGATGGGCGCGATTAGGGAATGAGGGGGAGTCATTCAACTCGTCAAATGTTCTCTTCACAGCAGCGCGAGAGATAGTTGTGGAAGCCAGTCTTGTTGCATCCAAGGTAGTTTTGTGATATATGCCGGGCGGCGTCGCATTAGATTTCTTCATTTCCGAGTTGGACTGGGCTCAGGAATTGAATGTGTTCTGTGTAATAGGTAGTATAGAGAGTAATTCAAGGCATTTGGTAGGCAAAGCACAGGAAGAGGGAGGAAGACTGATGGAAGGTCCGAGTCAAATAACCTAACAGAGCAATTCTTCAAAACGAAAGATTTCTTTTTATAAGCAAAACGTATGGTTGAGTTAACTTTGAGGAATTATGAATATTGCCTGTGCCTGATATGTTTCGAATTGACTTGGTTGGAAAGTCTTGAGTGGATACTCGTACCCAGGTAGGTGGAAGAAGATGTAACCTTAGTGGCGGGCAGTGGACGAAAGAATTGCACGTGATCCATCAGTCCATCGGGTTATTGGGCGCTCCGGGTCTCCCTTGTTCGGAGCTAGCAAGGATATTTTGAAAAGCAACACCCCGCCTAAAAGTGGAGACTTTGAGGATTTGTAGAGGATGTTCGAGATCCCACATAAATGTTCGATTGATGGAAGGATTGATTGATTGATTGGTTGATGAATTGTGAACTGATGGATCGATGAATCAATGAACTGATTGGTGAATTGATTTTGTAATTGACTAAATTGATGGTTGATGGATTGATGGATTGTTAATATGACACCAAGACTTTACCATGCAGCAGCTGATGACTCGAGCAACTGTTGTGGACTTGAAATGATTATTTGCAACGACTGTAAAGAAAGGAATAAGACAAGTTTTGATTCCTTTTAACATATAGTCGTTCATTCACTTATTACTAGATAATCATTCTTTAAATTAACTCGTTCACTCATTCACTCAATCATTCATTGAAATCACTCAGTCATTCGGGGAATGTTTTAGTTTTCTACGTCCGCTCACAGGATATCATGTCATGCTCTGGTCTGCTCTGGCCTGTTCTCATCTGGTCTTTGGTCTCCTCTGCCCTGCCTGCCCTGCTTTTTAAATGACATCAGGTCTGTTTAGATATCCAATTTCGACATATATACCCCCTAACATTTCTGCCTATTGTTGAATGATATCAAAGTCCGAGAGTACCCCACCTAGCCTAGGCGGATATCTGGTTTGGATCTACTCGAGTACCGTAGAATATTGATGAAGCTCAATCTCCTACAAAAATAAACATGTTTGTTTTTTCCAAGCTTGTAAAGGCTGGGTTAGATAGGTATCTATCATATGGATAATATAAGGTTGTAGAAAACATTGAAAAAACTCCAAGTCGGGTCTACAGGATAAGGCTCACCTACTTACCTACTAGTCATTCTTGAAGTCGCCGCCCGTCTTTTTCCACACCCAGCGGAAAAGGGTGGTTGATTCTATGCAGGCACCATTTAGCGCCACTCCATGTCGTTTTGTTTCGCCAAAGAAATTCCCATTCCCACCTTTTTACTCCATCGCTTCATACTTCACCATCCCATCCCATTCATTCACCCAGTGATCCAATCCCATCCATCCATTCATCCACCATTGCTTTCATTGCCTGAGACTACAGACAGAGTATTACTCTGCACCTTTTAACCTAGACCCTAAATTTGAATAAAAGACAAAAGTACCTACTACTTACTAATACAGCTGCTGACTAACTACGCCGACTTTGTCCTTTCTTCCCAAAGCTCTATCTATATCCGTGCATCTATCAATCTTACCCAGGTCCTCTTCCCAGTCCCTACCTCGCACTCTCTATCTTCTTAAATATTTGTTATACGGCAAGGTATAGGACCATATTTTACAGCCAATCCATCATATTGCTAACTACCAACCGAACTCTCCCTCCCTCTCCTCTACCCATTTTCACATTTACTTTTACCATCTTGAAATTATCTCCCTAATCATTCATCCAAGCTTCAAGCTGCATAATCTCATTTAGCTTGTCCTTTTTCGAGCTCTCTCAACTTCCCTATCTAATCTTATTTACTCTCTTTATCAGTGAGGATTAAGGTATTGCCCCAACTTGGGTCATTTGTCCAGGGTTTGTGCATCTCCAGTTAATTCTACATGTATGTTAATGAGAGCTCACGAATAGCCTCGTCCCAGTTCTACTCATTGTCACCTGGTGGTCCTTCCACATCCGCCCTTTCTACAATATCAAGAATTTACCTGTCAACTACACCCTTTCTAATTCCAACCCGCTTCATTATTCAAGCAATCTCACTACCTCGATTTTCTCTCATGGGTCGAGACCTTGTCATAATCGTCCGGCAGCCTCGTATATAGCGCTTCTCGCACCTCGTTCTCGCGGGAAGCGCTCCAGTTCACAGCCCGATATTTGATCATTTCGGCCACGAATTTGTTTGCGGCGCAATCGTCATGACCAAGGAAATTAATGCTGGTACCAGCGTCGAAGGCTCATCCAGTACCCTCCCCTCGCAAGAGAGCGATGGCGTTGAGAATGTATGCTCAACCCCCGACTCTCACGCTGTAAATGCAATGGAGATCGTATCTGAACCTCAGGCACCGGCTGATGCGCCTGGGAGGGGATTGGAGAAAGAATTGTCAGCCCTTCGCGATTCCGAATCCCATCCTGTGACAGCGACCAATGCCACATCTTCAAATCGACCGAACAAGGATGCCGGAGCCAGCGGTATGGGCGGCGCTGCCTATGGTACTCGATCGCGCAATCGCACCAGTGCATCACGAATCAATTATGCGGAAGACAAGGAGATGGACGTGGACATTGAAATTGCAGCGCAAGAGAAAGAGGTGCGCAAGGCTGCTCGGGTCAATGATTCTCGCTCTTCGACATCCACCGATAATGGGTCGTCGACAGCTGCCACGAAAAAGACAGTCGCCTCTGAGCTAGAACCTGTCGCTACGACTCAAAATAACAACAAGGAACCTATTCCTGGCACCTCTACATTCTCTGCGAATCCATCAGTACCAACGACTCAGAATTCCAAGAAAAAGAAACCACCTGCTCAGACTGCCGCAGTTGCAGCTTCATCTTCGTCGCAGAACGTTGTACAAAATGGTTCGTTGGTACACACAACTACTCCTAGAGCGAGCATGGCTATGCACGAATCAAACATGTTGAGCTTCGATAACTGTGGCGCACGTTTGAAGGATGGGAAGCTTGTAGCCGATGATGGCACTGTTCTTTCAGTCAATGGTATGCATACCAAAGCCATGGATACACCCGCCCCTTTTCCACATATTTCGAAATACTAACCCATTATCAGATCACGTGTATCTTGTTTGTGAACCGCCGGGGGAACCATATTATCTTGGTCGAATTATGGAGTTTTTACATATCAATAATGATGTCAAAGAGCCTATTGACGCACTACGGCTTAACTGGTATTACCGTCCCAAGGAAATTGGGAAGAAGGTTAGTGATACACGTCAAGTATTCGCATCCATGCATTCCGACATTAGTCCCCTCACAGCTTTACGTGGCAAATGTCAGATCAAGCACAAGGCCGAAGTTGAAAAGCTGGATGTTTTGAGATCGACGAAGGACAGCTTCTGGTACGACAAGTTGTACGATCGTTACATTCACCGATACTACGATGTCATTCCCACTTTTCAGGTCATAAATGTACCAGATCCAGTCAAGAAAGTCCTTGACGAACGTTGGAAACACATTATTGTAGAAGCGGGGCGTGGCAAAGAGTTTACTAGTGCTGTGAAAACCTGTAAACGCTGCAGTAGGTACAGTGCAAGGTGCGTATTTTCGAATCCTAAAATATATAGCCGAGCTGATTATTTAGCAACGATTCTGTTGACTGTGCGGTTTGTCAGAATACCTATCACATGAGCTGTGTGAATCCACCACTGTTGAAGAAACCCTCACGCGGTTTTGCTTGGGCCTGTGGACCTTGCAGCAAGGCTCAAGAAAAAAAACTCGAGGCTCGCAATACCCCGAATATTAATGATGGAACCATTGACGCCGAAGATGACGAGATGAATGAGGATGAGGACGATCTACCCATAGCACTAGGCGATGCACTTGATGCAAATGGCAAGACCTCATCAGGGTCCCAAGATGTCGAAATGTCTATTCATCCAGGTACAGCGGAACAAGTTCATCAGGCAAGCCTATGGCTGTTTCGATATCTGGGAATACACTGCAAGGTTGAAGATGCACTGGACTATGACGATCGTATATATCCAAGGGCTAGCTCTAGAATTGGGAACCGTCATCAAGCCAATGTTCCAGCATGGCCTGGCAGACCCGTGGAGTATGTCAAGGCTGTGGAGATCAAGAAAAAATACATCAAGGGAGGGAGCAGTAGTCACAGGAAGGATGCAAAGCTATCAAAAGAGACTATAGCTGCATTGGAAGCCGACAAAATTGCCCGTGAAAAAAGACCGATCTGGGTCATGGATGAGCCAAATGGATATATTCCCCGTGGTGATGATGCACCCAACGATGACCCTAAAAATACGGCGACTCTCCAGTTCAAAATCCCAGAGGTCGGTGAGGCTTCTATGAGCGCCGAGCGGGGAATGGACGATGGCGCTTCGTCCTTGGACGTCCCTGCGTATGAGCAGTTGGTCAATGATTATATGATTCGTGCGAAAGCAATGGCCAAACCTTTAGGCTTACCGGAACGATCAACCAATCTTCTTGATGTAGCCTTGCAATTGCTCTATTCGAACAATTTTGATGTAGACAAAGCGCTCGATGCACTTTCCAAAACTGACAAAAAGGCATTCAAGGAGCCAGAGCTAAGTTCGGCCGAGCTTAAAAAATTCGAGGATGGCGTTACTAAATTTGGGTCTGAATGGCTTAGCATTAAAAGACACGTGAAGACTATGAGTCCTGCCGATGTGGTACGTTTTTACTACATATGGAAAAAGACGGACAGAGGAAAACAGGTATGGGGCAATTATTCCGGACGAAAAGGCAAAAAGGAGGCCAAAAAGGCTGAGGCAGCCTTGGGAAAGTTACAAGATGACATTGCCGATGATCACGATGATTCTGCTTTCGATAACGACAAGGTTTTACAGAAAAAGAAGGGATTCCAGTGTAAGTTCTGTTCCGTCAGAAGCTCGCAGCGATGGAGACGAGCTCCGAACACACCTGTTGGTACCACAGTACCTGAGAATCCAAACAGCAAAGGAGCTGCAAAAGAAAAAGGTAACCAACTTGTATTGGCGTTATGTCAAAGATGCGCTGAACTCTGGCGCCGCTATGCGATACAATATGAGGACATCGAAGAAGTGGCGAAGAAAGTGGCAGCTTCAGGAGGACGAGCTTCGAAACGGAAAATGGATGAAGAGTTTCTTAGAGAACTTAAAGCTGCAAACGAGGGCTTTGTGCAACCCGATGTTCTTCCCACCACAGCACCTATATCGGCTCACAGTACGCCTGCGCCTACGCCACCTGTTCCGACAACCTCGGAACCACCTAAGAAGAAAGCCAAACCTAGTTCAGATAGTAAAGAGACTTCGGATTCTGTGCTCGAAAACAGTGCCGTAGTAACGCCAGCACAGCCGAAAAAGAAACTAATAGTCGAGAAACCTCCCGCCCCTCCGCCTCCTCCCCCGGAACCCCCCAAGCCAAAAATCCTTCCGTGTGCTGTTTGTGGCCAGATGGATCCATTAGGAGATCAACATCTTTCTTGCAAAGAATGTAGAATGGCTGTGCATCGCCATTGCTATGGAGTTGTTGATAACCGAAGTCCCAACAAATGGACTTGTGACATGTGCCAGAACGATAAAGATCCCAAAGTGTCGATAGTGAGTAGATTTAATCTTTCTTTGTTATATTTGTGTGATCGCTCACCATTTCAGCAATACAAATGCATGCTTTGCCCAGTAGAGTCCACAGAGCATGATTTCGTGGAACCGCCCAAGATCTCTCATAAGAAGAAAACCGAAAAGGAGCGCGAGCGCGATCGCGTAGAGAGAGAAAATGCGCAGAAAGCTGCGGACTACTTTCGAAAAAAGCAAGAAGAATATAACAAACCCGTTAACCCTCGAGAGCCACTGAAGCGCACGGCCAATAACAACTGGGTACACGTCACCTGTGCTGTATTCACACCTGAAGTAAAGTTCGGAGATGCGAAAGCGCTCGTTCCTTCTGAAGGAATTCCTTCAATCCCTTCGAGTAGGTATGATGAGGTTTGCAAGGCATGCAAAAAGAAAGGCGGTGCCTGTGTGAATTGCCACTCATGTCGAGCTCCAGGTAAGAGTCACTTTACATATCCATATTGTCATGTTACTAAAGCATTGCAGTACACGTGGAATGTGCGCATCAGAATGGGTACATCTTGGGCTTCGATATTGCGCCCGTGAAGGGATCTCGCCGCGATCAACACAATATCGTGAATATCAATGGTGAGATGGGCGCCATGTCTGCCGCTATCTGGTGTAAGGAGCATTTGCCGACTAAGACTATTGTGCATCGCATGCATGATATCGTCGACGAAACGGGTCTCAATGCTTTACAACTCTTTGTACAAAACTTTAAACAGGCAGACTTAGCACTGACTGGCACAGTCCGAAAAGCGAACCTTGTCAATCAATCTACTAGAGCGGCCAGTTCTGTCCATGTTGCCACGTCCCAAAATCGTAGGACGTCGACGACGGGAGCTTCCATAACGACTCCCATTAATAGACGTGCTTCTCTGGCATCAATAAAAGTTGAGGATTCGCCAGTGAGTACTTCACTTCCGGTAAGCGATTCAGAGAGAAAATGTGTCACCTGCAGTGTTGATATAAGCCCTAAATGGTGGCCGATGATTGAAGCTTCTGTTACGACCAAGAGCCCTGCACTTCCCCTTGACGCGATACTGGATCACGATCCTACAAAATCGGAAAGCCCTGGTCTCACCAATGGTAACTTACCTAATGGCCTAACGGGTGAAAGAAATGGAGTTCATGTTGCACTCGCAGCCGCAGCCTTAGATCAAAATACACAAAAACCGGCTCCCGTGCCTACGGAATTTCAATGTCACCAATGCCACTGGAAGAAGATTCGAAAACAACCCACACCCACACCGACCCCTCCACCCATACCTGTACCAATAACAATCGATCGCGAGGTTTCACGACCTCCGGCACCCCTCCCAATTGCAACTCCTGCACCCGTCATTGCGAGTATTTCTCAACCTGAGCATGAGCGAAACCATGCGCCTCATCAATATCCATGGCCCCCTCAACCTCCTTCGTACCCGGCCACTGCTCCATCGTATCCATCCAATACTCCATATAACAACTGGCCACGCCACTCCCCTGCGCCAGCTAACGTCGCTGTCGTACATCAAGTGAATGGCAATCATTCACCAAGGATGCCTGGAGTTACGCCACAACTTGGAGGGCCACCTCATAATCGACAGCCTGTGCAAGGTCTACAGCCATCCCCCCACCAAAATGGACGCTTGTCGCAAACGCCCAACGGCTACCCACCATCGCCCCACCGACTTCCTGGACCACCACCTATTCACATGCAAAATGGAGGGTACGGGTCTTATGTCTCCAATAGACCCGCTCCTCATCATTTAACCAACGGCGGACCGCCCCCTCGTGCTCCGGAACACCCATTCTCGCAAAGCAGCGCGCCGATGCATCCTCGTCCGTACGGTCCACCGCACGCACCATCACACGGTAGCCCACCACTCAACCGGCAACTAAATGGTATTCCTCCTCAACTGAATGGTGTTCCTCCTCAATTAAATGGTGCGAGACCGAATGATAATCGCGTTAATGGTGGAGCAAGCGCAAGTCCATCGCTGCGAAATTTGCTTTCTTAGAAGAGGGTTGGTTGGCCAAAAACAGACACACATATCATCTAGCCTTTGGTTGACGTTTACTGTTTTATCTCGTTCATGTACTGTATGATTCCAATGTTTTACAAATTCAGGCGTTCGTTTTATGGTGGCCATTCCTTTCTCTGGGAGCATGGCGTTTAGAGACAACCACAATGTAAAATAGATTATCCAAGATGATTGGAGGTGGGAAACTAGAATCATCCATGGGAAACGGTAAGACGGCTGATTCAAAATGGGAGGACGGTCCATAGGTACATCATAAATAAAAACAACTTGTACAAATAGAGTTGTGATGAGTTGCCGGTCTTGTAAGGCAAGATCTGAATGCCACAATATTTAAAATAGTTGGCGGCCAACAGCCCGCTCATCACACTTTCAGGTAGGTACCCACATATAAGAAGTGAGGATTAATTTTGAGATGTTTGTAAATTCTACCATCATGATGTCCTAGATCATTGAATTGTGCACTTGGTAGGTAAGCCGCATGGGCCTTCCTTATCTCTGGCACCTGTTTCTCCTCCGCTTTGCACTGTTACTGTCCTCCGATTTGTTTGCTTGGTATTTTCAGTTGCTCCATTGCTCTCTGCCCCTGCCTTTTTTGGCTCTACCTCTCCTGCACCATTAGTTATTGCGGGACCCTATCCATTAACGTTAACAGTGCAATTTAATCGGTCGTCGTTGGGATAGCTTACATCTAGTCACGCAAAGTTAACCTTGCTAATGGCCTTACCAAATTCCTCGCCTTGAATGGTGGCGATTTCCAACTCGAGTGCAGAGGGTGATCGAGATCCGTCGCCACCCTAGTGATTTGTGAGTTACATTTCTTTCCAAAGCGTAGCAAAACACCGTAGTGTATAATTCAAGAAAACGAATTAGGAACTTACAGCGAAGGTTCCTGCGCCCCATGCTGAGCCACCTCTGACCTCTTCTATATTACCGAGTTGTGCAAAGGCCTTGGCATATCCCAGTGGAACATAGACGATGCCGTGATGAGCCAATGTCGATAAAGAGGCAATGACGGTGCTTTCTTGTCCGCCGCCTGGAGTGCCAGTGGAGACGAAGATACCGGCGTATTTACCCCAGTATCCCCCGGTTTGCCATTGGCCGCCTGTGGCGTCCCAGAAGGCTTTCCATTGTGCAGGGAAGTTGCCGTATCGGGTTGGGATGCCGAAGAGGAATGCGTCCTACAAGTGGGAATGAGAGTGTTAGTTATGTTGTGGTCATGGATTTCTCGGGTCATTATTCAAGAGCGAGGTAGATTGGAGGTGAAATTAGGATGAGCATGGTCCCATTGCTCAAGCCACATGGGAAGGTTCTAGGTATACGGAAACTTACATAGCTAGCCAGAGTTGCCGGATCAATAATTGGAATGTTGGGTTTGGCTGGAGCATGCATCTTGGTCAAGACTTCCTGGGGAAGAGTCTCTGGAACTCTAATTGTAAATTCTTAGTGACCACTGTGTAGTTGTGAAGCATTTGATGTTGATGCTTACTGGAAGAGATCAGCTTCAATTCCAGCCTTCTTGAGACCTTCCTTTTCGGCTTCGGCAAGCTTTTGAATGTGGCCGTACATGGAGTACTGTTGGACATGCAATGATTAGCATCATGATAAGTTTTTGAGTAAACTGGTAGGAATAAAGGAAGTGAACAGGAGTAGAATAATAGGATTATATGCGGTATTGGATGGATAGAATGTGAGGAGGAATGGTGGTAGAGATAGTTCTGTCCTCCCCTTAATAATAGTGGGGTTCTGTAGAGATAGAGTAGAGCAGCTACTTACAAAGACGATAGCAACTTTAGGAGCCATGATGGTAGATGGTAGATTTAATTGAATTAAATAATATAAGAATTGAAAAGTCGATATGAAGAGTGAGAGAGAGAGAGAGAGAAAGAGAGAGAGAATAGATGGGAAAAGTCTTCCTTTTATATCTAATTCATTCAAATGTAGTCGAGTGTGTATTTGATTTATTGCTTATATGTAGGTACCTAATGAATGCGGGGTTCAACAAAAGTGGATCTCTGGTGTGAGCATACTCCCCCGCCTGGTGCAAATGGTGACCTTCAACTGGTGTGCTTGGTGAAAAGTAATGATTAGTGATTGATTACAGACCAGAGCTTTGTGATTAATAAGTGATTGGTTTTCATTAGCTAGGTACTTGGTGGTTATCTAGTATTTAGCGTATTTAGTATTTACCTTGTACTCGGTACTTATAAGTTACTACCCAGGACCTACCTACCTACCTACCTAGTAAGGTTCTATCAAAGCCACATTCCTTCGATGCATTATTAAATCATTACGATAGCCTCGAGTAAGCAATAATAGCAACAGGGGTTTCTGTGTTTCTTTCTCATGATTGGATACTATCTTTCGTTCGGCAACACAACAAAACCTTTCCATTGATTATTAACCTCCCTGCATCCACCAATCACAACAAAGCAAACACCACTCGTAGGTTAAAAAAAAAAAATATCACCACCATGACCATGCCCACCGTCACCATGCCCACCATCACCATCACGACCCATCACGCTTTCGGAATTTGGTTAACGTCCATAGCAGTTGGAATGTCGCCCTTTTGAAACTCAATGTCATTCTTTCATGCGAGGGGGAACTTGCGCATATACAACGCAATTGTCCCATTTCATTCTCTAAATACCAGGCCATGTATTGGCAATTCTTCCTCGTCTCATATCGCTCTTTTATCTGCTACTAATCATGTTTTTTATTTCAATCCTCAACTCATTCATCGAGGGAAAAAAACAAAATCTTCTTTTAATTTCAATGACCTTCCTCATGCTTTGGATTTAAGGCCTCTGGAGTCTTTGCGCCTGGAGCGATCAATTATTAAGAATGAGTCAGTAGAAAGAGCTTCGTTGGAATATTCCGAAGATGTCCAGGATTTACCCCAGGAGCCAGAGCCGGCGGCACCTGCGTCTCAAAGATTGCTAAATTCTTCAACCTTGAAAGATTTTGGAGAGGACAGAAAGAAGGAGAAACTATCAAGGAGAGCCAAGCGCATGGGAAGCTTACCTCAAGGTTTGATTACTCTCGACGCTGAATCCTCAGACGTGCAAGAATCTCCGTCAATAGGTGGGAAAAAGGTCAAAAAGGCCCAAGCATCAAGTGAAGTAGAGCTTCTCCAAGGACTTCTTCCTTTGGAACCATTGGAAATTGAACATGAGCCACCGCCATATCCGACCGTGATCATGCAAGCACGTAGTAATATGCTCAAATTCGAGAATTGCGTCGTTGTAACTCGTGTCGGTGGTTTCTATGAATTATATTTCGAGCATGCGGTTGAGTATGCCCCACTTCTAGGTCTCAAAATTGCGCAGAAGAAGACAAACGCTGGACCTGTTTCCATGGTAAGTCCTCATAAAACAATCAAATCACCATATAATAACGGTAAATAGGCGGGCTTTCCCTTTCATCAACTTGATCGTTATTTAAAGATACTTGTACAAGATCTAAATCGTTATGTTGCTATCTCGGAAGAGTTTCCACATGATCTTTCAGAAAAGGTAAAATCTGGAGGCCTGATGCATGACCGAAGAGTCTCTCGGATTGTGACACCCGGCACCCTCATTGATGAAGGTTTTATGGATCCTCTGTCGAATAACTATGTGCTTGCCATACACGTGCAACAAGATGAAACAGCTGAAGCCGTTGAACACGAGAGTCATCATAAATCAATTGGGTTGGCTTGGCTGGATCTATCGACCGGCCATTTTTTCACACAACAATCATCACTCTTGCAACTTCCTTCTTTCCTGGCCCGTGTAGCCCCGCGCGAAATCGTATTGGCTGAAGAGATGCAATCCTTTAAGAGCCACCAACTATTTACCATTCTCACCGATGAACACCACATAATCACTTATGTAACACCATCTGGAGTGAAGCCTATATCTGAGTGGACTCCTATGCTGGAATCAGCAGTGTCACCGTCCTCGGCCGATGCCTTTTCGGAAGAAGAGGTGTCGGCTGGTAGTTGCTTGCTTCAATATGTTGAGACAAGATTACAAAGCACAAACATGAAACTTCAACCTCCGGTTCGCCAATTGAATGTGATGGGAATCGACAAGAATACTATGAGAGCCCTCGAGATTAAAAAGACCATCAAGGATGATACTTTCAGTGGTAGTCTACTGCACACAATACGACGAACAGTGACCAAAGGAGGTGCAAGGCTGTTGGAAAATTGGCTTGGCAAGTTTGCCCTGTGTACTTGGCTTTATCTCAATGTTTCCAAAGGCTAACGGAAACAGCATCACCTTCAACATCTTTGGATGTAATAAATTCGCGACTCGATGTCGTGACATACATGCTTGAAGTTGAGCCTCTGCGGGAACGAATGATAACTCTCCTGAAACGCAGCCACGATTCTCATCGCCTACTACAAAAATTTGCATTTGGTAGAGGAGATGGTGATGATCTTCTCGATCTGGCTAGCACAATATTTGCCACTCGAGATCTCGCATTCGCACTTGAAATCCAGAATGCCACATCTGAACCTTGTATACAGGAATTACTCGCTCGTATTCACCTCAAAGGTCCGATGGAACTAGCCCAAGCAATCACAGACGCCATCGACGAAGACGGACTCGTACAACAGCATCGTATTGAAGAGGGTGAAAGTGGGGAAATGCAGGCATTGGCCGAAGCGATCGTTGCTTCAGAAGGAACCACAGAAGAAACTTCCATCCTCCGAAAAAGTCGCAAGAAACCCGCCAACAGCATTCGCGAATACTACAACCCAGAAAACGAAGCCTGGATCATGAAATCAACGGCTACTCCGACCCTCAAACATCTTCACGAAAAGCTCTCCTCTCTCTCTGATCAGAAAGCCGCCCTGGCAGCTTCTCTTTGCGACCGTCTTGGCGCAACAAGTCTCACCCTTCGCTTCACCCCCGGCCTCGGCCACATCTGCCACGTCAAAGGCAAAGATGTAGATCTCAATATGCCCGAAGCCCGTACCATCAGTTCCAGCAAAAGTACGCGCTCTCTTCACCATCCTGAATGGTCATCATTAGGCCAAGAAATCGATCAATGTCGCATCCATATCCGAGCCGAAGAACAACGACTCTTCTACAAACTCCGCGAATTGGCCATTACCAACCTCATTAAGCTTCGACGTAATGCTACTGTATTGGATGAAATCGATATTGCATGTTCATTTGCTACTTTGGCAGATGAGAGGGGTTGGACACGTCCTATCCTCAACACAAGTTCCGCGCATAAGATTATTAGCGGGAGACATCCTACAGTTGAGACTGGACTAGAGGAAGAAGGACGAAGTTTTATCTCCAACGATTGCCTCGTGGGAGATGTTCATCGGGCATGGTTAATCACAGGACCCAACATGGCTGGAAAGAGTACATTCTTGCGACAAAATGCGTTGATTACCGTTCTTGCACAAGTCGGTTCGTATGTACCTGCCGAGTATGCAGAGCTGGGAATTGTGGATCATATATTCAGTCGTGTTGGATCTGCAGATAATCTCTACCAAGATCAATCTACGTTTATGGTGGAGATGTTGGAGAGTGCGATGATCCTCAAAAATGCGACATCACGATCATTTGTCATTATGGATGAAATTGGTAGGGGAACAACACCTACAGATGGTGTTGCGGTAGCTTTTGCATGCTTGCATCATCTTTATCATGTGAATAAATGCAGGGCATTGTTTGCAACGCATTTCCATGCATTGGTGGATCTGATAGAGGAGGGTGATATGGACGCAATGGGCTTCTATTGTACAGACGTGGAAGAAGACGGTGGGGACGTGGACGGAGCATTCAGATACATGTATAAATTGAAGGAGGGTATCAACAAACAGAGTCACGCTCTCAAGGTTGCCAAATTGGCTGGATTGCCAAGAGAAGCTATCGAGGTTGCTAGGCAGGTCTTGGGAAAAGATATTAATTTCTGAATAGAAAGTCAGTATTTGATCATGGCCATGATTGTTTGTATAACGTAAAGTTAAATGTTGAAGCATTCAGGAAAAAATTAGAGTGTTGTTTTTAATCTTCAATGTGCGCATGCACTCGGGGTTAAAAAGCTATGAATTGTTCATCACAAAGCTTCAAGGAATATAGAAATATGTAAGAAAACAGCGACTGACCTTCGGAGTGAGACAGACTAGTGGTTTTTACATCACATTTCAATGTCATACCACGATACGCATTCTTTGGTTTGTTAAGTTCCTTTTATTTTCTAGAGTCAAGATATTTGTGACGACTAGATGACTATCATGTCTTGTTATATATCTTTTCAGACATACAGAGAATTCAAAGCAGATAGATCATGGACGAAATTAGTCGAACATTCCTCCGAAACCCTCGTCAGCAGAGTCCTCAGCCTCGGATTCCTCCTTCTTGGCTTCCTCAACAGCGGCAGCTGGGGCGGCCTCAGTGGCGACAGGCCCGGCACTTGCGTATGCCTCTGGGTTGGCAATACGGTCCTTCAATTCATCAATCTCAGCCCAGCTGTAGTCGGTAGAGATGGCAACGGCCAAAACCTTCTTGTAGCTGTTGACAACAGAGTGCATAACAGATGGAAGGGTTGGGAAGTTGGCAGCCAAGGAGATAGCAGCAATGGTGGTGATAGCACTGCTGAAAGCCTTGAGAAGTTGGGATTCCTCAATGTCGAGAACGCTGGGTGGGAAAGTGTTACCAGCATCGTAAACTTGGGAGATACCCATACCGTATGTGAACGGAGAGATGTTCAACATGTTAAGAAGGGTAGCCTCGGAAGCTCCGACCTTGGAACCAGCCTCAACGAGCTTCAAGTCTGCGGTAATTTCAATGGTACCACGGGCAATCTTGGTTGGGACACCGAGAGCTTGGAAGAAAGAGGTCTTTCCTGGTTCCATACCAGTGTTACCGGCTGGGACGTAGACATCGGCAGGGGCAACGGCACCGGCTCTGGCTGGAGCAGCAACCTTGTTGTCGAGAATCTTGTCACGGATGGTCTTGAGGTCTTGGTTGGTGAAGACGAAACCGACGTTACCCTTAACGAAAGGAAGGAGACGCTCGTATTCTGGGTTCTCGGCGATGAAGCCCTTGACGGCACGGCGGACCTAATCAATCATAAGAATTAGCTTTCTGGATGCGCAGATGACAACAAATTCCTTCAATCGGCATCAAACGTACCATGGTGTTCTTTCCCATCAGAACGACACCCTCACCACGGAGAGATCCACGGATCTCGTGCATCTGTTGAGAGCTGACATTGTCGACGGTGACGATGAAGATGGACTTGTACTCCTCGAGTAAGCCCTTGAGCTTATCGAAGTAGCCAGCCTTGTTGTCGGATTTGCCCCCCATATCTTCTTATTTTTGAAGGTAGGATGTTTAAGGACAAATTTATTAGATTGAAGTTGAGGGAATTTGTTCTTCCTTGAAGAATTGCTGTGATTGTCGCAAAGTTAGATTAGAATCAGAAAAAGAAAAAGGTCCCGATGAGTTTGACGAAATTCTTAGAATGTGGGAGCCGCTAGTGTTTAGCGCCATTTCACATGCGAAAATATCGTTTGATTGGTTAAGAACCTCTGACCCTGCATAAATCGAGAAATTCGAGATTCTGGATAAATATTTTATATTTTTTATATTGATTTTTTTTATGTTGATATACAGGTGACTATTTCGAGGAAGAATAAGAAGAATTATCATCTTGGAAAATATTATATCTATTTTTCGGTACCGCAAAACTCAATTGAACAGTTTCACCCACATTCTATCGGAAAGATGTCGATACTCAGATCACCATACCAATGTCTCAAGCAATGTGGTAATTATCTTGTAGCAGCCCGAGGCTCAAGTATAGATACTTTTGACATTAAGAATGGTTCGTACCTTTCAACATGGAAATCTCCAGTCCCAGAGAGTATGAGCCGATCGAAAACAACCGAAGAAGAGACGCAAACGAAAAATGAGGACCAGAATTCAGAGACGGCAACTCCAGAGTTTATATTGGAGTCATCGGCCCCGCCAGCAAAGAGGCGGAAGTTATCTATCACCAAAGAATCTGGAGAAAATACTGGTGTGGTACAGCAATCAAAGAAGAAGACGAAGAACTCATCACCTAAGATTCTTGAGCCTTCGCCCATTACTGCTTTAACTATCACAAGAGACCTTCAGCACGTGATTGCAGTCACCGGCGAGGATAAAACCATCAGAGTGCTGGCTTGGGAGGATACAGTAGAAAAGGGATTGAGACAAATCAGTGATCGGTAGGCTTCATCTTCATTCACTTTCACAAAATGATTCTGACTGATCATTTCAGCACTATGCCCAAACGACCATGCGCTCTAGCCATTACCGATGATTGTAATACCATAATCAGCGCCGACAAATTTGGAGATGTGTACTCTCTCCCCCTCATTCCATCGCCTTTGGTTCCTTCAGCTACTGAAAATGCCTCTGTCCAAAAACAGGCCCCAAAGATGTTTCAACCCTCAGCTAGTGCACTAACAGTACATTCGGCGCGCAATTTAAAAGCTCTCGAGGCTCAAAAGAAACAGTCCAATAAAGTTTCTGAAAAAACTGGTCCAGATTTTGAGCACAAGCTACTTCTTGGTCATGTTTCCATGTTGACTGATATCTTGGTGGCTACCCTGTCAGGTCGTCAATATATCCTCACAGCCGACCGTGATGAGCATATTCGTATTAGTCGTGGAATTCCTCAGGCACATATAATCGAGAATTTTTGTCTCGGCCATATTGAATATGTTAGTCGATTATGTATTCCTCCTACAAGACCAGAAATTCTTATTTCTGGCGGCGGTGACGACGATCTTTACACTTGGAATTGGCTTAATGGATCCCTGCTGTCCAAAACAAACCTCAAGTCTCAAGTCGAGGCACTTGATACAGAAAAGCAAAGTGCACAAGAAGCCGAGTCTAAAAAGATTGCAGTAACTGGAGTTTATCACGCTAGAGATGAAGTATCTAACCAAGATATTATCATAGCTACTTCTGAAGGGTAAATCCCCCCCGCGGCCCAAAATCCTGAATAACCGCCAGGCTAACAAAACTTCCAGTGTCCCGGCTGCCTTCATCTATTTTCTCACAGCGTCTAACCAGCTCACTCACACTCAGACCCTCGCTCTACCAGGCAACGCCCTCTCTTGCACTTTCAGCAACCCCGACCTGTCGTCCCCATTCTCCCTCATTATCTCCATCAATAACATCCACGAACCCAGTTCAATCACCACCCTCAAGGATGCCAACTCCTCAGTTGCAAACCCTCTACAATTTTTCAAATATGAAAATGAGAAATTCGTCAGCGTGCAACAAGATGGATTCGCACCGCAGGATAGCGAGGGAATTTTGGATGACCAGCAGAAGAATAACTTATGTGGGCTGTTGTATAACGTTGGTAATTTGAGGAAGATGGAGGATGAGGAATAAACAAATACATGTGTACGTTAGTTAGCTAGCGATAGATTATTAAAAAGGAAAATACCCTAACGAAATTATTACACCATCCACAAATATCCATTTCTTCATGAATGTATATATAACAACACAATCAACTCACATAATCAAAAATCACATACCGTACAACCCACCATCATCTTCACACCATTTCCCAATGTCACCTCACCCCCAATTTATTCAATTCATTGCAAACGTCAAGACCCCAATATCATTTGACTAGGTACATATTATTACATTTGGATTTCCATTTCATGAGCACTCGAGCTTCGATGTCCCAGTGAGTCTCACTCAAGCATCTATCTGGTTATCCCACCCAAGCTTCAAGCTTTTAAATGAAAATGAACAACGCCTCCACCTACAACAGACCCAAACAATCCCTCCTCCTCTTCAAACAACTCATCGAGTCGCCTTGGCCAAAATAGTCGACGACTGCGCTGTAACCACTTTGGTGGGTTGGGTGTCCGATAAGCACACAGAAGACGGACAAAATTAACCCCATTTCGAAGGGTTCTGCTAGTAATAAAATCTTCACTTCGTAGAGGGTTTTCCCATGTAAAACATGGTTTTCGCTTATTTGTCAATTTCCTGTCTGCTTTCTTTTTCAAATTGGAAGGGGAAGGGGGAGGGGAAGCGAATTGAATGAATTTGACAGAAGGTACGATGATTTCGCTAAGATTTATATTCCATAAATTCACCACTCAATTGAGTTTATCCCGAAAAGACTAACTATTCACAGCGACCAAGCTTTGTATAGTACGAAATATACGTTTACTTCTTCTGCTTAAGTCTGATTCTTAATTTTTCCCTCCATGTAGCCACAGCCCTCCTTACCGCATCCGCGACCTCCCGTCCCTCCGCCTTCTCAATTACCTCCAAAACCCATCTCACTCTCTCCGTTCTCCCCCAATTGCCATCCCTGATATCCGCAATAATACCTACCTGTGTAACCGCCCTCGATATTTCCGACGTCGGTTCAACATTATGTGCACGAAGGTAATGCCAGCATTGTGTAACATTACGAAGAGCCTGTCTTGGATTTTTAACCTTGTGATGTGCGAATGCTTTAGCCAATTCGTGTACCAGTTCAACTCGAGCTTGTGAGAGAATCTTGTGCGATGGTGATTCTCTTTTCCACTTAGGCATTGCGGCGTAGATGGGTACGTCTAATGCGGCCCAGATTCCTTCGCTTCCGTGATATACCATTGCAGCGAATAAATAAGCACAAGCCTCAGGTTCGACTCGGCCTACACAATGCTGCATGTATATATTGTAGGCCGCTTGTAGATCTACGGAAGCCGTGCTGTTGACAAGGCCTGCGAGGACGTTGGTATTGACCCGGATGTTGAACATTTTCGATTGCTTTAGTACTGCGTGTATGTATCCGAACCCTTTAACATCCAGGAGAAAGTCCAACAGACTCCGAATCATCCCATCACTCAACTGGCCATACTTTTCCAGAGTCCACAGAAGCCATCCAAAAGAGAAGGGGGAATGAATGGACTTCATTTGAAAAGTGTTGATGATCACGTTGCCATTTGTCAAAATGCCTTGACTAGTCCAACGGTTTAGAACAAGTTCAGAGATTTGGCGCCAAGTCAATGTATATTTCTTAGTGTCTAAATTAAACTGGCTGTGATCCTCCTGCTGCAACGATATGAATGTTTCTGCAAACATTGAATCATCAATATTCTCTAACTTGGACAATACGGAAAGCCAGTTGAACCGTATCCTGTGGGATTGAGCAAGATAGTCTTTGGGCCCTGTGAGACTTCTTTGGTTCCAGAAAGCTGCAGAGCAAATTACTTCCGAATGAGATCTGACCAGAGTAGAAGCCACATCTTTAGATAGAGCAGCTAGGGTAGTACTCATTGCATCTATGGAGTGGTTGTGAGGCATTAATATACTTTCCGCACACCATAATTCGTTGCTGGCAACGGAAAAATCCCTAGAAGACCGAACGAAGATGTCTAGAATGCTTTGGATATATTCAGGCGCTTCTTTACCTCGACTGGACCACATTAGCATACGAATATGATTAATGCTTCGTTGCGAGGCTATCAAAGATGCCTCTGCCTTGGCCAAGAACTTTGTTGCGTCTGGAGGATTTTTAGGTTTTTTGAGCCAACTTAATGACCATTTATTTAGCAAGAACAAAATATTGCCTACGTTACTCTCGACTTGAACTGTAGACAGCGAAGGAAGGACTTCAGAAATCAAAAGTTGTGTTTTTTTGATGCTTGGTAGTGTTGCCAGCAAAAGAAGATACTCTCCCACAACTCCGGAATCAAAATCGGCGGGCTCGAAAACCTTACAAGATACAATGCCGGCCCAGACTAACTTGTGAAAAGCAAGCATTTGCTCAATTACGGCAGGATGAAGCCCGCGAAAACAATCCTCCATATTAAGACTCTCCTTGGCAGAGCTTTTAGTTTCAGAGAAATAACCGCTACCAATTTCCATGAAAACGTTTGTAACAGCTTGAAGTGACTCAGATAATAGATCACTAGTAACTAGCCCAAGGGTAAGACTCTCTTGGAGTTTTTCCCCAAAAGATAAGCAAAGCTTCAGCGCCTTAGTAGATCCAGCTAATCCTTGACGTCGGCCTTTATTCTTCTGGGCTTTCCGGCCCCTTTTCTTCTCGGTATATTTTCGACGAAGAGCTTCTATTGACACTTCAAAATCATAAAAATGATCTTTGATCTGTCTTTCTTGCTGTGGCATGTCATAGAGGTTCTCAGTTGATTCTTGTACGCTTGTGATCTCCGTAGAAATTTCTGTTGGTTGGTCGGGCATAGGAGTCGGATTGGATAACCAGGATGGTAAAATTGGCGACTGCTTTGGTCGATCATTAATCCGAGGTGTTGGAGCCTTCCACTGCGATTCAATCTTTTCTGACCCCCATGATGAGCACCATAAAGCTCCCAGATCGTACATTGGACCTTGTATCATCTCTGTGACATGTGTCATCCGTCTCCTCCCCAATCTCCTCCTACTTTCCATTGGTCCTGGCACTGAGCTCCCATGTCGACGTATTGTATTTGAAGCGCCGCAGAAGCGTTGAAAAGCATTGTGAAGATCATCTTCAGAGATCCATACACATTCAAATGAGGTCGTGAGATGATGTTTGAGTCTTCGACAAGAGGTCGATGGGCGAGGGAGCATCGCTCGTTGAAAAATATGCCAGCCTCGTTGATGCTTTGCGATTCGACATTGGTGAGGTATTGAAACTCAGGTCTTCTCGAAACAAAGTGGCATACTATGTAATCTCACGCGCAAGACAGATATCGTACCCGCGAATGAATTCAGCGAGGCCCTTTCTTACCTATTGAAGCTTCATGCATCATTTCCAATGCGAATAATAAATTGAGGTCCGGTAAATAGTTTTTCCAGAGCCTCCTCGTCCCTCTCCATTTTGGTGGGGTTAGAAAACGAGAGAGATCCCGAGGGACCCATGAGAATTATGCGATGCTGATAGCAAGAGAATAATATATCAAGGTTCATAGAGACTTTATACTTCAATTAGGTTTATCTTCGACTTCTCGTCTCCTTCCAACCACCATAAATCTAATTTTCAAACAACATTTCTTACCGCATAAGAACATTTCACATCCTGATCTTGTACATTTGTGGTGCTTTTTGAGAATTCCCCTCATTCGGTTGAGCCATAAATTAGTATATCATGGAGCATCAATTTGAGCCCTTACAGAATGATCTCATACTTAGAACAGCATGGGGTAGGTATCCTCATCTATATGGCTTCAAAATGTAAATTGATAATGAAGTCCAGGTCACAAGGTCGAACGGCCACCAATGTGGGTGATGCGCCAAGGTATGTTCAAAACATTGGGAGTCAACGAGGTTTATGAGGCAGAAATAGCTAATAACCCCCTCTAGCTGGACGTTACCTACCTGAATATCATGAAGCAAAAGGCAAGAATGACTTCTTCGAATGCTGCCGCTCTCCGGAAATCGCATCGACATTGACTCTCCAGCCCATTGAACGCTTTGCCGGACTTGTCGACGCAGCAATCATATTCTCCGATATTCTGGTGATTCCTCAGGCTCTGGGAATGACTGTAGAAATGGTCGACAAGAAAGGTCCCCATTTTCCGGAACCTCTTGAATCGCCCTATGACGGCCAATACGAGCGAGTTCTGAAGAAAAATGTGGATGTTGCGGCAGAGTTGGATTATGTTTACAAGGCAATCACTTTGACGAGACACAAATTGAAGGGAAGAGTTCCATTGTTTGGATTCTGTGGTGCACCATGGACATTATTATGTTACATGGTAGAAGGAGGAGGAAGCAAGCTATTTGTGAAGACCAAGACCTGGGTTTACAAGTACCCAGAAGCTAGTAAGGCTCTCCTTCAGAAGATTGCAGAAGTGTGTGTAGAATATCTAGCTCTACAAGTCAAAGCTGGTGCACAGGTTAGTCCACCGATCGTTTGTAAATCTCCCGCCCGACTCTAATCGTTATATTAGCTGGTTCAAGTCTTCGATTCTTGGGCTGCCGAGTTATCCCCATCATCTTTCAAGGAGTTCTCACGACCATACCTTGCATACATATCTGCGAATCTACCAAAACGCCTAAAGGAACTAGGGCTCGAGCAAGTTCCAATGGTCGTATTTGCGAAAGGAGCCTGGTATGCGTTAGATTCCTTGTGCGATCTAGGATATCAGGTAGTAGGTTTGGACTGGCTGCAAGACCCAGCGGAGGCCGTTCGGATACGAGGAGATCGCCCGGTTGTTTTCCAAGGCAACGCAGATCCAGGAGTTTTATACGGAACCCGGTCAGAAATCACTCGAGTAGTCCAAGAAATGGTAAATGGTTTTGGTGGAGGAAAGCAAGGATGGATTGCGAATCTCGGTCATGGTTGGTATCCTCCAAAACTTGATTGTTCCTCAACTAATTCGATTTCCCATAGGTATCACGCCCTTCGTCAACCCCGATGATTTGAAATTCTATTTCGAGGAAATCCATCGGTTGACGCAGTGATATTAAAACTATTGAGTGTATCATTCCTTGGTATGGACCCTCTTCTCAACTCCAATATCTTCATTCCTACGAGAAGTAATGTGTCAGAGATAGCTGGTTGGGATCAAATTTTATGGCATACCACAATTCTGGCTTCTCGCTGATAAATCTCTCCATCAATTCCTGGCACTCTTTACTTTGCATGTTGACGACCTCGATACCTCTTTGCTTCAAATAGGCTTCACCACCAAGGAAAGTGTTGTTTTCACCAACGACCACTCGTGATATTCCATACAAAAGACATGCTCCAGTACTTTCCACCGTGATTAGTATAGCGCAGAGCCGTGTTATATGATTACAAAACATACCACATGTCACATGGGGACAATCTAGCAACTATCTGTTAATTCATCTAATCCCTTCAAGGTAATATGTTTGATATTGAGGATGTTCTCTTGACATACGTTGTGTACATGGTCGACCCCTTATAAGCCGAGGCAGGAAGACGACCCGAGTTTTCCAAGGCGGATGTCTCCCCCTGACTTGTAGTCAGCATCTCCATCCATCCACAAGCTAGAACGGGACCCTACATGATGAATAGCACTTCCTTTTTGAACGCGCATATTGTGACCACGGCCCAAAAGTTTTCCTTCTCTCGAGACTAAAGCTGCCCCGATCTGGGATGATATCCTTGATTAGAAACGGCAAAAGAATTGTAATGCATTGGCTCTGGATATTCATACAGGTACGCCACCTTCTTCATATCCGATCTTGGCTTCCTCGACTGCAATTGCAAATCCTTCTTGATCACTAAGGGGACTCATGATGGAAGTGGTGGTGGGTTGTGGATGGATGAGAGTTGAAGAATGAGAGATATTTTGCAAAGTTAGAATGAAGGCAGAGATGGGGACCAAGTATTCAATTCCGGGAAATGAGGATGGATGGGGGATAGAGAGAAGGCTGCTCTAATTGAAAAAAATGTGACTTTAGTCATGAAATTTTGACCTCTCCATATATATTTGTTATCCTAATGCAGAAGCTCCAAGAAATCTTGGTTATCGGTTTCTTAGTAAAGCACAGCACAGCACTGTAACATAGTCGGTAGTAGTAGTCTCTTATCGATAAGAAACCCTATCATGTCTTTTATTTATTTTGTGGTATGTCATCATTATTGGTGGGTGAACAAGAGATTTTCGGGCCCCGGATTGATCTTTTGGGCTGCTGACATTACTAATCTAAAAATAGTTTAGCCTAGCCTTACATGAGCAGCACAAGCAAAGAAAATCAGTCAGAGATGGAAACGAAGATACCTATGTACCAGGTAGGTATATATATATTCTGTATTAATTGCATAAAATATCCCTAACGAATACATTTCCTTACTAGATGATGAATGGAAAATAAATCGAATCATTTAATAATTTACGAATCATTGTTGAATGATTTGTCAATATGTATTTGATAAGCATCATTTCTCTTCACCACCTTTGTATCGGGAGAAAAAAGATTCCATGAGAATCCCTGTGCGCTTTCGAGACCCTTCTCTGAGATTCTAAAATATTGCCGCTTTCTTCTTTCCAATGTAAGGCAAGGAAGGACAAACCACTCACCCAAAGCTACCACTCACTCAATTTATTATCGATAGATTTTAGTTTTTAGTTTTTAGTTGGCTTAAAAACTTATTAACTTTCTTTCTACTAAAGTAAGATCTCACAATCAAATAAAATCATTCACCAATTTCTACACAATTTCTGCACAATCTCCTCTCTCTTCCTCTCTCTCTCTCTTTCTCTGTTCTTTTTCCTCTTTAACTAATCCATTCGAATTTAAAGTCCGACTTCATCTGAGTGAAGCTTTTGGTCTTTCTATCTACAAGTATCTCAACCCGAGATCGGATCGTTCCCATTGAAGAAAGACACTTTGTTCTTTCTCACAAACCTTCCCATTTGTGCGCTCAACTGTGAAAGTCCCAAATTGTAAGTCATTTAATGCTCGCAATTTGTATTCCTGCAATTTCTCGACAGCAGAATCTTAACACTATCGAAGTGTACAATGATGAGCTTTATCTATAAGATACAAATGGCAATTTATGACACTGATTTCATTCAATCCCGGATAGCTAACAATCCCACTCCAACTCTAGATCCGAATAAGAGCCTTGTTAGACATCTGAGTTAAGAGTCTCTCCCGGCTACAACAGCACATTCCGATACAAGAAGAACGGAAACCAAAGAGACTTTACCTCTTTATCAATAAACAAAATGCCTAAGGACAGCAAGTTGTATGATCTGTTAGGTGTAAGAATTCGTCCCCCTCTATGTAATGAGAGAACAATGCTCAACTCAAGTTCCTATAGGTTTCACCAACTGCAACGGAGGCAGAACTTAAGAAAGCATACAAAGTTGGGGCTTTGAAGCATCATCCAGGTTAGCCTCTTCTCCAGTTCATCCCCTCATCCTTTCTCCCCACAGTACATAAATCTGACGGTTAAACCGATAGATAAGAATCAGCACAACCCAGACGCCGAGGAAAAGTTCAAGGAGATCTCGCGTGCATACGAAATTCTTTCCGATCCTCAGAAGCGCCAAATCTATGACCAATATGGCGAAGAAGGATTGGAGGGTGGTGGTGGAGCAGGTGGAATGAACGCCGAGGACTTGTTCTCGCAATTCTTCGGCGGTGGCTCTGCATTTGGCGGTGGTGGTTTTGGCGGTATGTTTGGTGGTGGTGGTATGCAACAACGTGGCCCACCAAAGGCTCGTACCATTCATCACGTTCACAAAGTTTCGCTCGAAGATATCTACCGCGGAAAAGTCTCCAAACTCGCCCTTCAGAAATCCGTCATCTGCCCCAAGTGTGATGGACGTGGTGGAAAGGAAGGTGCCGTTAAGAAGTGCGCTGGATGTGACGGCCATGGTATGAAGACAATGATGCGCCAAATGGGTCCCATGATCCAGCGTTTCCAGACGGTCTGCCCTGATTGTAATGGAGAGGGAGAGATAATTCGTGAAAAGGATAAGTGCAAGGGTTGCAATGGTAAAAAGACTACCGTTGAAAGAAAAGTGTTACACGTTCATGTCGACAGAGGTGTTCGTAGCGGACATAAGATTGAATTCAGAGGCGAGGGTGACCAGACGCCAGGTGTTGAACCAGGTGATGTTGTTTTCGAGATCGAGCAAAAGCCCCACGACCGATTCCAACGCAAAGATGACGACCTATTTTACCATGCCGAAGTGGATCTCGCTACTGCACTCGCTGGTGGAACAATCTTTGTCGAACATTTGGATGAGCGGTGGTTAAGTGTTGAAATACTTCCAGGAGAAGTTATTAGCCCAGGTAAGCTATTTATTCCCATGGCGACGCGTTAAAGATTCTCTAACAACTCCTACAGGAAGTGTCAAGATGGTCCGTGGCCAAGGTATGCCTTCATATCGTCATCACGATCACGGGAACATGTATATCCAATTCGATGTCAAATTCCCCGAGAAAAACTGGACCGCCGATCCTGCAGCGTTCGAGGCCCTCAAGACCATTCTCCCACCGACAGCAGCAGGCATCACACCGCCTGCCGATGCGATGACGGAAGTTGCCGATCTCGAGGATGTCGATGCCAGCCAACAAGCTAGAGCGCAAGGCGCGGGTGCCATGGATGAAGATGATGAAGATGGCCCCGGAGGTGAACGTGTCCAATGTGCTTCTCAATAATTTATACTAGTATTGGCGTTTGGCCTGGGGTTATTCTTCATACTTTCATACAGAGATTTTTTTTTATCGACCTCTTTTGCATCTTCCGTCGGTTCTATGATACGCTATGCTCGTTCATGATTTCCAAGTGCGTTATTTTCATGGCCGATAATCGAGACAAGGGCTTTCTCTTGAATTTTTTTGTCTGATAGAAATGTCCATGACGCCAACATACACGAATGACGAAATGAGCAACGAGCGAGTAGCTTTGGTTCGAGGGTGAATATGATAGATGGATAAAAGCTAGGAAGGAAGGAGTCGAAAGGAGTGAAAGGAAAACCTTTGGACAATCTATGTGGGTGATGTGGTCGGTGTAGAATTTTCTTTTGCAAACATTGAGAATCATACATTATGAAGTAAATGGAACATCTTTTTCATAGGTTTCCAAGGATTTTCATGAGGTCAGATAGATAAATCCGAGAATTTAAACCTGGTTAAGATCAGATCTCTTAATATGGACAGAGCGTTTAGACAGCGGCTGGGATAGATAGCATGTGAGATGAGGGGAAAATGATATTTATGAATACTTCTGTTTTGGGTGTGCATGTGCTTGTGAAATGTTGTTGAATTGTGCTTGTGGTGGAAGGAAGTCTTGTATATATCTACCTATTTGACACGTCAACAGCCTGATGGGCTCTCCTTTTGGGTACTGTTAATTGGTTGGAAGAGGCGCTACTTATTTAATGGAGTCACCTTTCTCTCTAGTATGCATGTATATAACACGTTATCGAGAACTCATCCCTCAAATTTCGTCCTCTTGTATGGTACGTGACCTAACACGGCAAAAGCAAATTGTCTAGCCTTATACATTTATTCCTTAAAAAAATACCAATTATTGTTAAATATTAGATCTTTAGAATATATATCAATTTTAAATATAAATTTTTATATTGTTTTTTTTTTGAATGTTTTAATGTCACACTCAAGAATACTGGGTAAAGTATCTTGTATTAGAAAATACTAAGCTAAGGAGAAAAGAAGAAGGAAAACAAGAGTAGAGAGTTTTCCTATGATTAAATACAAACGGGGCATGCCACGTGACCCGGAGGTGTGAGGCGTCACATTTAATATAATTTTAATATTTTGAAATTATTTTATTTTAAAATGAATTAAATTGTGAAGTAAATTAATTAATACTGAAATTGATAAAAATAAGATTATTTATAAATGTTACGAGGTTTGCCGTCTAGTGTTACGAGGTTTGCCGTCTAGATCATGTGGAAGTGCTCTAGGCTCTCGAGGTGGTTTATAACTAGACGTCAAGCAGGGACTTAAAGTAATGACAATAATGCAATTCGTAATTAATAGTAGAGTATACTAAATGATTGATCTTGAGCACGAAGCTCTATACAAAAGAAATCCATCTTGATTATATAGTCCTTCGTGCCTATGGTTAACTAGGAATCGTCGTTCCTGGGAACGAGCGTTCCTGGTTGTTCCTAGGAACGTTCGTTCCTCACCGTTCCATCACATGTTTTATGGTCATGTGACATACTAATCGTTTTGGACGTAACAATATTAATTTTTCTTTAAAAAAATATTAGTTTATAAATTTATGATTTATAATCTTTGTTTTGAGAAATTGAACTATGTTATTGTAACGATACTGTACTGGAGGCAGCGGCTGCCTAAGGTTTCGTCTGGTTGGTAGTTGTGGGTTAAGGCTTTATCACTGGTATGTTACGACGGGCTACACAACTACCATTACATGACCAAGGCACGTGATTACAAGTGATCAGTAGTGATCATGAAGGATCACCAGTGATCATAGAAGCATGAAGGTCTATATAATCAAGATGGATTTCTTTTGTATAGAGCTTCGTGCTCAAGATCAATCATTTAGTATACTCTACTATTAGTTACGAATTGCATATTATTATTGTCATTACTTAAGTCCCTGCTTGACGCCTAGTTATAAACCACCTCGAGAGCCTAGAGCACTTCCACGTGATCTAGACGGCAAACCTCGTAACATGGTATTCACTTGGAAGTGAATTCGTTACTAGATCAAATAGAATGTAGATAAACTAATTGATAACTAAGTTAAGCACGAAGCTCCTAAACTATGAAACTATTCTAATTATATACTCATCGTTTCCCTAAATGCTAACTATGCTAGCTGGCTAGCAAAGCTATTACATCACGTGATTTCTTATTGGTCTTAAAATACTAATCCTAGGACAATTCTTATCCTGGGATAATATAGCTCTCAGGATAATTGTCCTGGGACATATATTATCCTAGGATACTTTATCCTGAGACGCATAACGTCCTAGGACACTAGTCCTATGCCTTCATGATTGCTTAATCGTTTTGTCCTAGGATAATTATTATCCTGGGACACATTTTATCCTAGGACACTTGTCCTAGGATTCCTTATCGATAAGGGAACCGCGGTAAACAATAGCCTAAACCTCCGTACTTGTTTTTACTGTATAATATTAGTCGTGGTTCGTGACAGTTATCTTATAAATGATAAATAGATTTGAATATACTTTGAAAGTATTATACAATGTCTACTAATAAAAATACATATAATAATGTAAAACCCTCAGATAATATTCCCCAAATATATATTCAAGTAATAGTATTTTCATAGGACACTTCAATGGAATATACAAAGTTATCCCTCTTACTCTAACGGTAAATTTTAGGTAACGATCCCAGATCACAATTCTCATCTATCCCCACGACACTACTCGAGTACCATTATCATGAATGCATCACTCCAGATGCTCTTCCATCTTTCCAAAACCCATCATAATTTTGACTTCCCCCCAAAATGATATATGTTTTTCCGCTACACTCGCTTCATAAGCATCGATAATTGGTCTTTCCCAGACAAGATCTGCCTCTTCTGGCTTGACAAACTTGGTCTTCTTGAGGACTTTCCATCCTATGTATAGAATTGGGCAGACGAATACCATGGTATAGTAGGAGAAGAATGTTCCGGTATCCCACCCTGTTTTTGGTCAGTTTTGTACTTTATTAATAGAGGTATTACAGAAAAATGGAACAAAAAGAACTCACATCCAGGCAAAAATGTAGTATATCCATAACATCCCACAGTAAAGATCATTGCTGCGAGACCAGCCCACGCACAATAAGGTTGATACCAACCTACATATGGTAAAGTGCTTCTATCAATACCTTGTACCTTCAATGCTCGGTAGAAAAATATATAGATAGTACACATGCAAATATAATCTATGATTTGCGAAGCTTCGGTAAGGTTCGCAAGCCAAGTGATGACTTGTGCCGAACTACTACCTACGGCAAGGAAACTTAAAAATGGAAAGATCATGGTAACGCAAAAACAATAGATTGGAACACCAGATTTGGTACATTTTCGGAGGAAACGTGGGGCGTGACCGTCGAGTGAGAGACTGTATAACGTACGACATGCGCAATACCTTTGGCAAAATCAGTATCTTTCAATATATTATTAAACCAGAATGAGCAACATACACATAAGAGTTACCAGCGGAAAATATACTCGTCACAAGTAACGCATTTGTGATATGCGGTAGCACACCAATTCCTAGATTTTGCATGGCAATGACATAAGGACTTGAAGCTGCGGTTCCAGTTTCTGAGCCACCACTTGAAAGGATAGCTATTAATTTCTTATCGTTGTATGGTAAGACTATTCCGCATGCTAGGGCTCCTCCGATGAAGAAAACACCAAACCTCCAGTAAATTGTCTTGAAAGCTCGTTTGAGATTTTTTCTTGGATGAGAGGCTTCTCCTGACATCATGGCAATGTATTCTAGAGTAGTGTTAGAGTGACAATGCCTATGAATTGAGGGTATAATTGTGGCACGATTTAACATACCGGGACCAACAATGGTGAATGCGGCTTTCCATAATGCGGCGAGAAATCCTTCAAATCTTCCCAAAGTCCCCGTGGTGACATATTCGGCAAAAGCACCCTATCATTGATTAGTATGAAAGAAAGCCGAGAAAAGTGTGTGACTTACAGGTTCTTTCCAGTAACGGAATCCATAAGCATCATGTTTTGGATTTCCTCCCACCATTGTAATGAATGTGAAGGAAAATATCATAGCTATTAACACCACCTTGCCACCAGAAAGCCAAAATTCACTCTCTCCATACCACTTAACAGCAAAGAGGTTGATGATACTACTGAAGTCAGAAATTGGACATGGGATTGGGAGTGGAAGCTTACCCATAGAGAAAGATGCATCCTGCGCAGACTGCTGCTAAGGGTATATTATCGCTGTTCAATGCGTCAGATGTACTCGAATGTGGCTATTGATTGAGGAACGAGCTGGAGATACATACCTCCAAAAGGTCAACACCAAATTCAATGCGCTAATCTCCCACGGAATCAATATAGCTTCTAGATTCAGATGCTTATTAGAATCTCATCCACACAATTCACAACTTCTCTCGGCCCATTGAATCCTACTTACCATAAAGGAAGAAATTCCACCCCAACATAAACCCAAAGGCTTCGTCAACCCATTTACTCCCCATCCTCACAAAACTCCCACTGACCGGCATGAAAATGGACATCTCGGCCATACAGTTGTTTACTAATCCAAGAAAACAACTGTATAAGATGAAAGCAATGAATAAAGATCCCGGTCCACCTTGTGTAAGCCCCGATCCAATGGATACGAATAAGGCTGTACCAATTGAACCGCCAATCGTGACCATTTGAATTTGTCTCCCGGAAAGTCGACGTTTGAGACCGTCGACATTTTCGAGGACTAGTCCTTCAGACTGGCTATCATCACCATTGTAAGGTGGAAGATCTTTTTCCCCATATCCTGCGGTTGGTCCTCGAGCTCCAGACTCCTCAGGATAACTTGTCACCGGACCTGACTTTTCTCCCATAATGAGTGTTAGTCCTCTTAATATGATTGAGAAAAATAGGACTAAGAGGAAGAAAATAGGAGAGGAGGAGAGGAAAACGAAAAGTAGGAAAGAGAGAGGGAGGGACGAGGCAACTTACCTTTCAAAAAAATCAAAAAATCTCTGTAAGATACTTTGATGGTCAGCACAATGGTAAGAGCAACCAAGGTTACTACTGTAGTAGGTGATACGGGGATCTTGGCCGTCGTAGATTTAATCGAATCACGAGCTGCGATGAGATCTAATGCGGGGACCAGGGACTAATCACTTCCTTATTAGGAAAGCCGCATTACACAAGGTTTAAGTGATTACTGTAGCGAATCCAGTCGTCGATTGGTCAATATTCATGAATTTGAAGTCAAGTTAATACGGGACGAGGTCTGCGTGTCGATAAGATGAAGATAAAAGTCCGATAAGAATGTCACTCTTACTGTCATCGAATTCCTTCGATACTACGATACTCGGTTTTTATTTCCTATTGTAGAAAATCTGTGGTAGGAAATCTATCATATAAAACCAAGTTATGTAGGACGAGATGCATGCTTTTTTAGGGGAAAATCTATTTGATTTATGATAATCTGATTCTCTTGAATCCCGCAAACATTCTATGGAAAGGGACCGTGGGGACTGTGCCACCCGCTTTTCCGCTTTTCTGCTGCTTATTGTAGTCTTAGTTCCCGTTACTTAGGTAATCTGACTACCGGTAGTCAACCTATTTGAGATGGGAAAGTTCCCTTCTCTTCCACTGCTCTCCTCGGTACTCCCAATCTGACCCACAAAGGCGAAAGGCTAATCAATCAATCATTTATGTTTTTTATTTGCCACTTAACAAGCAGTATTGATTTAATCCCTCACTCACTTATCAATGCATCAAGGACATTCAGTCAGACCCTACTATCCATCACGAGTGATTATGTACATTCAAACTTCATTGCTCCAAAATTATCAGATCAAGGTAAGACCTTCAGTCTATCACAATACCTCCAGCTCCTGCTGGTCTTCTCTCACTCTCCAACAACCAAGCACCTCCTTGCGGTCCACTAGCATCTAGACTCATGGTCGTCTTCCTAGCATCACTTATGATTCGAATGGTTTCGCCCGTATTCTTGCTGTCAGTCTCGCAAGTGACAGGGCGTGACTTATTCTTAACACTTTCCTCTCCGCCACCTGATGATCCTGGCCTGACACCTCTAGTGCTAGGAAGTGCTTTGATTTCGACCGTAGGATATTGTAAGAACCCTTCTCGAAGGGGAATCAATACAATAGGATAAGTCAACTTATTATTCTTGCCATCTATCCTTCTAGGCACTTTAAAGTGACCTTTTCGTTTACCACCGATAAGCCATGTGTCTGACGGACCTGTAACCTCATATACGAATTCTAAATCTTCTTCTGGGCTTGCTACATCATCTTGATAGGCAGTATCCCAGTTCCTTGTCGATTTTAGGTGTAATGATGCTGGTATTGGTTCGTTCGCTGCTGCTACAGCACAACTAGATGCTATGGATGCTGTTTGAAGCAGCCTTAGATCTGCAGTATGCACCACCGTTACTGAAGGAACATCTACGGGTATTACGATAGATCGGCTTTTCGAGATGGCATCACTATCGATAGAAAGAGGCGGCAAAATAATGGCAGGGTTTTGTTTCTGCCAGTCCTGGAGTATGTTTCCAATGAGAACGGCAGTGTCTTGATCTTCTTCGATAGAGTTGCCCAGACCCGAAAAGTGGTCATGCCATCTGATGTTGAGAATGGGAGAAGTAGGTATCTCACCGAGTATGGCTGCCCTTTCAAAATCATATGCTTGAAACTGTGTTCGAATCTCCGCGAGGATTACTGGTAGTATTAGGCGAGTATATGGTCGTAAGGAATTGCCCTCGAAGAACTCTCCCAGAACTTGTGCGACAACATCATAAACTTCTTCGTCAAGACAAATATAGTGCAATATGAGAGATAAAGTTCTCGGCTTGTGAGACTTCCCTCGACTAGTTGGAGTGGAGGGCGATCTTCTCTTGATAATTTTGTACAATAGAGACGCTGGTTGACGGGCAAATATGGTCAAAGGACTTGTCAGACCAAGCCCACATTGCGCTTCAAAAATTTCGGACTTTTCAAGTTTTGAGCTAAGGAGTCGAAGTGGGCTATTTGTAGATGTTGAGATGGTGAACTTAGAAAACAATGCTCTATGCTTAAATACATCTTGAACGTTGACGCCCAATGGAAGCATGATCGAGACCGAAGAGGTTGTGGCGAAGAAGAAGTCTCCATCTTTCGTAGTGTATGATAATTCGAGTCGGAGACTAACTTCGTTCACCTCATGTTCGAGATTGAATGGTACTCGGATTCTTGCGATAGTTTTCGCATCCATTGCACCAAAATGGACAACTCCTGCCTCTCGCTTTTTGGAGATATCGACTTCTCCGTCGATAACTTTGACTTCACTGGTTTGAAGCCGCAGCCCAGCTGTTGCTGCACGAATTTGAAGTTGGCCATTTGTGACAATATTCCAACCCGACGACAGCTCAATCTCTAGAGAACGGTTTTGGTCTAGATACATGCACTTAGAAGAGAAGAGCTTGGCATTGAAAGCTTCTGCGCGTTGATAAATAAGTAGCTTTGGGCATTTGAAAAAGCTACTGTCTCTTGTAGCGATATGCCCAATATTATCATGCGAATATTCCATGACAATCTTGCTACTATGGAGAATAACATGAGTAACTTGGTAAGAGCCAGGGATTATAATCTATAACCATCAGAAATTATCATTTTAACAGATTTCCCTCACTTACATTACTCTGAACGCATAATTTATTCCATCCTTTTTTAAACATAATTGCGGCGTTTGTCTCAAGCCAAATTTCTCGACCAGGACCACCCATCAACGGGATAATCCTCACCCTAGCCTTGTCGATATTAAAGTCCTCTTTCAGTAAGTACTGGAGTCGAAGATATAATCCAAAACTATCCTGGCTGTTATGATACTGTGGAGTCCCATCTACTTCTATCCTGCTAAAGTAATCCTGCAGAGGGACATGAATGTCACGAGACAGGGTTTGCGTTATTAACAACAATTCATTTAGATATGTATCACTGAGCACGACATCTCCTTCGTCAAAAGTGCTCATTGAACCGAATTTAAAGGCTGACTTTCTGGTAAGTTTTTCTTTCTCCATCATAGCCACCCTCGCAAGAAGTTTCAGCACAACTTTAACATATTCGTCATTACGACTCAGCTCCTTAAGGCACTTAGCGTACATTACTAGCAGTGATACTTCAACTTGTGTCCATGAAGAATCTCCGTAGAATGGAGTAATGCGATAGAAATAAGAGGCAGCAGCAGCATAGTCTTTCAAGTGAAATTTAAGGATAGCCAAATCTGCCATGCTGGTTTGTACAGACTGGGTGCGATTTGCCACGGTATAATGCCGAAGTGCTTTATCGGTCAGGGTCTCATACAGGCGATAATAGTCTTCTTTATTGTCTAGTGCTGTCCGCAGCCACTTGCTGTCAATGCCGCGTAAAGAAGGCGGCACTTGGCTTGGGACAAGTATTTCGTCTTTGTCTGATGGCACCTCCTCGTCAAGATTAACCTCTTCCATGGCTTCCACATCCTCGGCTTGATGCTTGTTTACATTCTCCCAACCAGTAGTCCATTCACGTTGTTTACCAACATGTTCTAGAACACTTCGAGAGAGCAAATAGAGTTCAGCTCGGTGGGCAGCAAGTTCTTCCAGCCCGTTTTTAAGGAAGGCTGACGGACCTGCATTAGGACCAGGTGAGCTAGCTCTTCGAGCTCCAGGAAATAATCCGGGACTTGGAGGCTCTCGAGATGATGATCGAAGGGCGAGAGAGGTCGTCCTAGCAGGATGCATCATGGTTTTAGGTTCGGGGATTGCGGATTTTGGTTCGGCACCACCACCAGGAGGCGCCAATGTTGAGGGTGGTATAGGCAACGCTTTTGTTGAAGTTTGTGCAAGTATTTGCTGAGCAAGAGAAAATGTGAAAGAGGAAACAACATTTTCGATTACTTGGTTCATTACAGGATCTGACTTGAAATCTGATTTTGCCTTTTCGTACGAAATTTCTTTTTGAGATTGGAAATAAGCACTCCAAATATCCTCACGCATGATACTTGATATAGCACGAATAAATTCCATTGCTCGGTTACAGATCTCACCAAGCACAGCAAGGTTTTCAGTATCGTCTGACGGTTGTGAAGCTGGAAGTCTGGCAGCTACACCTAGTAGGCTTGATTCCCTCTGTTCTTTCAACTTTGCAAGTAATTCTTCTTGTGTAAACCATGCATTTGCCAATCGCAGTAAGAGAGTTAACTGACGAGCAAATAAATAGCAACGGAAGTCAAATATTGAGACATCATTCGCAAGAATAAGTTCTCGGTATCGCTTCTTGGATGCGTTAATTGGTATCTCATCCTCCTCCTTATCGAAAGCCTCACCCATGGAATGTAGATCAATCGGAATCTCTGAATCTGTACCTTCCAAGCCTATATCTTTCAATATTGCCTCTCTAGCTCGCTCTGTCTGGAGTCTAAGCTCTTGGGTATAGGGCAGAAAAGAACCACCGTGTTGAGTTCCGGACTCTGCAGCGGCTTGATGTCTAACAATGGTGTCCAAGCCAATAGAAAGCTCATCATAGCCCACCAAAGCATCTTCAATCAAGCCCACGCTTTCGAATCCTCTCGCAAGTCCTTCTTTAAGTACAAAAAATGTACAGAAGTTCCAGCCGGGTAAACTTCTTTGACTATCCTTTTCCCGAATGTTTTCCTCGTACTGGGTTACCCGCATGTCAAAAGACTGCAGTATCAAGAATTTGAGCTTCGAAATAAGATCAATCCAAGCATTCTCATTCTCTTGCGGCGTTTCGGTATATGAGCCAGGGATCGCTGGTACAACACGAGGGAGCATGTTATATGGAACATCATTGATACCGATGCGAATCTGAGCAATCCGATCAACACCAGACTTCGTCGAGCCATTGAAATCTGCCCTCAATTTCTCGAGAATCGTAGATGATCCACCGCCTCTCCAAAGTGCTGTAGATTTTTCACTTGCGGACCCCGAACTACCATCCGCATTTTTTCCACTCGTTCTAGGCTGCGTAGCTGCTGCAGTATTCGGGACGATTACATGCACAATGAGATATTCAAAATTGTCATGATTTTCCTGCGAAGTGGATTTGCTTGCGGATGATGGGGTATGCTCCTTTATCCATTCTCGAACCTGCTTCCGACCGTGAGACTTATATGTATCATTATCATCGCAGCGCAAAAACAAAATCTTCAAATAAGGCGTCTGCCTTAACCCAGGTATTTGATGTCTGCGAACTTTCACGGCCGAATTTGTGGTACTGGATCGATAGAGTGTCGGAGGCTTGTCAACACCAGCTTGGCCAATTGCTTGTGTGCGAAAACCATCATCTGCGCTGACGCCAGAGTCCGCACTTCTTACTCGCGATAGATCGGATGTACTCGAGTTAAGGGGCACTGATGGTGCATTTAGACCGGAGTCTGGATTGTGTTTGATGAGGTCGACATGGAGGGAGGATATGGAACGGAGGGGACCAGCGTGTGATTCCCAGTGCAAGTTTCGAAGGGGCAGTCGAGGTAGAAGTCCTGGCGACAGGAGCGGATATACGTTATCAGGATCGAAATATTCAACTTAATGGGTTTAGCAAATGCAACTCGCATTGAATATTCTGAGAATATGTTACCTGTGACTTTTGAGCTTGATGATGCTTGCTCCATGGTTAATTATTTTTAGCATGAGAAACACACTACTAACTACTAACTCCCATAAATCATATCAATCATAAAATTCGTTAAGTAAAGACCATGACACCTGATTCATACCGTCGCATCTTTCATGTATGCTGTGTGAACATTGTTCGGTGCTCAGGGACCTTTACGTTCTGCCATGAATCCATTCTTATTTGGTTAGCGTGTTAAAAGGCGGTATAACCTTTGAAGCTTGATTTCACTCAAACTGTGGCGGAAAGAGAGGTAAAAGGTAGAAGAGCGAAGTCAAATTTCAGAGATCATGTAAATGACCTATTTAGAGAATGGTTCTCTGTAATGTATGCTTAGTGGCATAACGTCTATTTGAGCTGAACAATCCATAGACTTTGGGTAGTTAATGATGGAGGAGAATCATGCCGTCCTGTATGGTTTTGGGGGCTTTATCAATGACGATGTCACGACCACCAATTCCAGGTGAATTTATCTAAGATCCAAGTGGACACCATATTCTATCAAACGTCGAAATGTTTGTTGCACATTCGTCAGCGTTCGTTATATCATGTATCAATCGGCGAGCTGCTGAATATCTGTTAAGATTTGAAGAGATTTTCTTTGATATCTCTACCATGGGCCATACCATGGATATGGATATGGATCTCTACGACAATCATTAAAGTATCGGAGAAGGTAGTCAAGTCTACTGAGTAACGCATGGGGCTTCTTTTAAATTGAAGTCGAAATGCGAAAGCCAATCCTTCGCTTGTCTCTTTCTCTCATCTCAAATGTTCAGCTACTTAGGTGTATCTGCATCGCGTCAAACGATTTTCAATACGTCTAATTTCTACCATGTTTACCAGGGACTCTTCTGACCAACTTTCCATATTATAGTGTCACGCCATAACGTAACAGTCTCCGCATTAAAAGTCTCAATTGGAAAGTCGTACAAGAACTTTCATTGGAGGTATCTTGTTCTTTCATATTTTGAGTTACACGAGATCATGCAGATTAAAGAGGATCGTGTCCTCGGTGGACGCGAGAGGATCCACGGGTTCATCAAATCTCCTGAACTTTTCCCTGCTCAACTGCACACTTATGTCTTTGACAGTCGTTTACATACTTTCGAGGTCGCCTATCTTAAAACCATTGCAGTCCAAAATCCAAGATAACTTCAAGTTATATGTGTTTACTGCTGAATAATGATCGGACCCTGCAATCTATGATTATCCATCCTTATTGCGGGAGTCCCCCTTTGCCACTTTATATCAGGAGCGATATACCACCTTCAGGTTACCTTAGATGTATTGGTTGGTATCACATTAGCTGATCAACTGTAATCCAAAACTCATGGTGTTACTATTGGCGATCATAATGTAGATTTGTGAAAATTATCAATTCGAGTATATCCTACCGATGCAACGGATCATCATTGAATTGTTGTAACTTCGGCCTTTCTGACATCCTTTCATGATTCATAAGATGAGATGTGTTTCTCATTCTATAGGTCTCTTGACCACAAGCCTTCTCTCTGTCGCTAGTGTGACAAAACCTTCAACCGTTTCTCTCTCTTTCCCTTTCATTGAGCTCCCATCTTTCGGGAAGGAACCTGGGCAGAAAACATTGTCATTCGTTCCAATGGCCAACTGCTCATCGAACCTCTCGATACTCACATCCTTTATCCCTTGACCCTGCTAATGAAACAACGCCTGTAATTACTCTGCATACTTCCAATTCAACAACCTACATCGGACGTAAGCATGATTTTTCATGGCTACGATGTCCTCATTTATATAAACATTCCATTTCCTGTGCCCTGTTCATTCTACTACACAGCTTTGCCTCCTTATTTCCTACTAAGAGAGTTTCTGTATAGGTGATGACTGACTTCCCGGGGATCGAGTCCTAGGTATTACTGAAATTATCCGCTTCTTCGAGATCTTCTATGTCGCCTTCCAAGCCCCCTAAACAGCCATCTTCATAACGGCCACCGACTGCTCCAACGCCATCAGTGAACTAGATATAAACACTCCTCTCATAGCCGGCTATCACTGTCCCCCCCAATATTTAGG